TCCGGGCTGGGGTCCAAGAGGGGCGGGGGGGCTGTGACTGCTGTGGGGATTGGCAGCCGTAGAAAGTCAATCAGCGTTGCAGTCTCCGAGAGATGGAGCAGGGAGGGCATCCAGGTAGGAGCCCTGGCGGCGGGGCGGACGGAGGGTCGGGTCCAGTGGCCGGGCCTGGCGGACGGAAGGCGGAGAACAGTAAGGGCGGTGCGAGTAGAACGTAGGGGCCCTGAGGGGCGGGAGAATGGAAAGTGTGGACCGGTAAGGGGCGGGGCGAACCAGAGGTGGAGGCTCGATGGGGCGGGGCTTTTTGGAACCTGGGGCTCTGGGTGTTTGGAGCTGGACGCTATGGAGCCCTGGAATTTTGGAGGGGAACGGCTTTGACTGGGGGTTCATGCTGGGGTGATGGAAATGCCGATGTTTCACTGGCTTCCGTCTCCACGTCTTCATTTTCAGGCCCGTAAAGGACTTTGCGATGGACGAAAAGGGAGTGCAGAAGCCCGCTGGCCCTCCCACAAGAAAGAAATTCCTCATACCCCTGGACGAGGATGCGGGCCCTCCTCCTGGGGTAGGACTAGGAGGTTGGGGGACCGCTGGGAGGCTTGTGGGGGTTGTTGGAAGGAAAGGGGACAGGAAGGGGCCTGTGGGACCACAGCGTGGGTTAGGAAATGTTGGCGCCTGGGTTACTCTGAGAAAACAGTCCTTTGCCTTCTGCAAGTCTCAGTTTTTGTTATCTATAAAATGTCGTGGTTAGGAGGGCTGAGGCCGAGGCCGGAAACTGGCAGTCAGGGAGTAGCTGATATGTTTTATGTGGCCAGCACCCTGGTTCTGCAAGGCATGAATTTATTGCTGATGTTAATGAATTGGAAGGTCTTGCAGTTGAAAAAAGTCTGCATTCTTGACATCTATGGATAAATCAAAGGGTCTGGCAACAGTGAGGTCTTTTTCCCACAGAAACACAACTGGCTAGTGCTGAGTACTGGCTGCCACTTGTGTGCTGTGAAGAAAAAAGAAAGTAGGCTAAGGATGGGGGAGAAGAGCTACCTTAGATAGGACAGTTAAGGGAAGGCTTCTCAGAGGAGGTGATATCTTTGCAGAGATGTGAAAGAGGTGAAGGAGTGAGCTATGTGACATCTGGGGGGAGAGGGAACAGCCAGTGCAAAGGCCCTGAGGTCAGAGAGAACCTGGTAGGTTTTAGGTCGGCAAGAAGGCCAGTGGGGCTGGAATAGAGAAAGCCAGGGGAGAGGGGTAGGAGGTGAGGTCCTTGAGGTAAGGAGGCAGGGACAGATATTTCAGTCTCAAAGGCTAGGGTGACAGCTTTGGCTTTTACTCTGAGGCAGGAGCCACCTACGGGCTCTGATCAGAGGAGGGACATGATACGACTCAGTGTAGGGAACAGACTGTGGAGGGTAAAGGCAGAGGCAGGGAATTGGTGAGGAGGTGACTGCAGTGGTCCAAAGGAAAGAAGATGGTAGTTGGGACCTGGGTAGAGGCTGAGGAGGCAGAAGTAGCTAGAGCCAGATTTTGTGTGCCCTCTTACATCTCTCCCCACAGGCCAAACCCTTATTCAAATCCACACGGAGCCTGCCCACCACGGAGATCTCACCCCAGCCGGCCCCTCAGACCTATGCTGAGTATGCCATCTCAGGACCTCCAGGAGGGGCTGGAGCCACACACACCATGGGGCCAGAACCTCTGGCAGGAGAGACCCCCAACCCAGCTCCCAAACCAGGAGCAAAATCCAACAGCATCATTGTGAGCCCCCGGCAGGTGAGGAGGGGGATAGAGAAGTGGGGCTTTGGGGTTTCTGGTGGGAAACGCAGTTGTAGGGATGGCATCCTGGTGGGCAGTGGAAGGCAGGTCTGAGTTCTAGACACTGTGCTCTCAGCAGCGCCATCTCTCCATTCATCCATTCAACTGCCATGTGTGGGTTTAGGATGCCTCAGGTCTTAGTCTGTTCTGGCTGCTGTAACAAAAATACCGTAGACTGGGACTTAAACAGCAAACACTCATTTCTCACAGTTCTGGAGACTGGGAAGTCCAAGATTCGGTTTCTAGTAAGGACCTTACCTGCTTCCTGGCTCACAGCCATCTTCTCACTGTGTCTTCACAGCGTGGGAAGGGGTGACAGAACTCTCCGGGGTCACCTTTAAAAGAACGCTAATCCGATTTATGAGGCCTCTACCTTCATGACCTAATCACCTCCCCTCACCTCCTAATATCATCACACTGGGGGTTAGAATTTTAACCTATGAATTTGGGGGCAACATTATTCAGTTCATAACACCCCAACTCTTCTGGTTGTGGGGGATGTGGCTGTTCATTGCAGCTACATTTTCTGTCCCCAGTTTTGTCCATTTATTCAAAAACTTTTGAACGTGGGCCCAAGTTTGAATCCTGCTCTGCCACACAGTGCTGTGTGATCTTGGGCAAGTGACTTAACCCATCTGTGCCTTTAAAAATTTTAGGGGGTTCAGGGGAGAGTATAGCTCAGTGGTAGAGTGCATGCTTAGCATACATGCAGTCCTGGGTTCAATCCCTAGGACCTCCATTAAATAAATAAATAAACAAACAAACAAATAAATAAATAAATCTATCTTAATTACACCCCCCTCAAAAAAAACCAAAGAAACAAACAAAAAATTTAAAATAAATAAATAAATAAAATACATAAAATGGGGGTTCACCCACATATAATCCACATATGTGGTCAGAGGTTACCTGATGCTGTTCTAGGCTCTGGGGATAGCAGATAAAGTCTTAGTCATGGATGGAGCTGGCATTCTGGAAGGGGGAGAGGATGGTCTACAAAGGTAATAGGACCCAAGAACATGAAAAGATACTCAGTATCCTTTTGCCATCAGGGAAATGCAAATCCAAACCACAGTGAGATACCACTTCACGCCCACTAGGATGGCTTGAATCAAAAGGACAGACACAGATAAAGAAACAACAATTAAAAAAAAAAAAGGACAGACAGTAACAAGGCTTGGGAGGACGTGGAAGAATTGGAACCCTCACACACTGCTGGTGGGAAGGTAAAATGGTGTAGCCACTTTGGAAAACAGTCTGGCAGTGTCTCAAACGTTTAGATATAGAGTTACGTGACGACCCAGCGATTCCATCTCTAGGTATTTATACAAGAGGAATGAAAATCCGGTCAGCCCACTGCAATGAGGGCCAACTGTACTATGCCATCTGCAAAACTATGCCATCTGCAAAGTTTAATATTGAAGGGGTCCTGGAACAGTCCCCTGTGGATTCTGAGGGATGACTATACGTCCACGCAGAATCTAGGACACAGATGCTCACAGCAGCATTACTCACCATAGCCAAAAATTGGAAACAACCCAAATGTTTGGCACCTGATGGCTTTTTTCACTTAGCACAGTGCTTTCGAGGTTCATCCACGTATCACATTCATTCCTTTTTGTTGCTGCATAGTATTCCATGGTACAGACATGCCACTGTTTGTTCATTCATCCATTCATGGACATTTGGGTTTATACTTTTTGGTTAGTGAGAGAAGGCTGCTGTGAACATTTGTGTCCAGGTTTTTGTGTGAACATAGGTTTCCACTTCCCTTGGGTATTTATCCAGGAGTAGATTTGCTGGGTCATATGGTAACTCTGTGTTTAACTTTTGCAGGCACTCTCAAACTGTCTTCTAAAAGGCTGCATCCCACCAGCAGTGTGTGAAGGTTCCATTTTCGCCCTCTCTTTACCACTTGTCATTGTCTTTTTGATTTTGGCCATTCTAGTGGGTGTGAAATGGACAAAATAATCCTTGAAGATTGAAATTGGGTCCTGCCCCTCCCTCCGTTGCCCAAAGCCCTTCCCTGGCTCCTGGTGCCTCAGGTCCAGATGGCCCAGAGCCTGTGGATCTGGGGACCCCTGCAGACCCTTCCTGCCCCAGCTGCCCTGACCACCCCACACCCCACCACGAGAGCAGATCCCACAGCCTTCGAGCTGAATTCTACTTCACTTGGTCATTACACCTTCACCCCTGAGATGCTTTTGTTTAATGGCTGTTTTCCCCCCAGGAGAGCAGGGATCTTTGTCCTCTTAGTCATGGCTATATTCCCAGCACTTAGACACACTTAGACGCACTCAAATTCTTGAATAGATTAGAGTTTGACTTGCTTAAAGAATTTTGGTGTTGGGAAGTGGGAGAGGTATACCTCAGTGGTAGAGCACATGCTTAGCATACATGAGGTCCTGGGTTCAATCCCCAGTACCTCCATTAAATAAATGAATGAATGAATGAATGAATGAATGAATAAATAAATAAATAAGCCTAATTAGCTCCCCACCCCAATTTAAAAAAAATTAAAAAGAAAAGAATTTTGGTCTTGGACTATCAGGGTAGAGCCTGAGAGAAGCCTACTAAGCAGATACCAGGCTGTGGGTGGGCGTCTGACATGGAGGGTCACAGGCCACAGTGAGAAGCTTCCCCCTAAGGGCACTGGGGATTCACAGCAGGGTTTAGAGCAGGGGAGGGTCATGTTTGTGCTTTAGGAAGAGCCCTCTGGCTACTGTTTGGAGGGTGGCCAGGATGGGACACCACCAGGGCAGGCAACCAGGAGGAGGTGGGGTGGGGGCCATGGCAGTGAAGAGGGAAGCATTCATGGGCGATGCTTAGAAGGGAGGTGTCCCACCTCGGGGAGGAGGGGGAGAGGGAAGTGTCTAGGACAAGGCCTGGATCTCCGGATGATGGGGTGTTCCCTGAGTTGGGGCCCAGAGCAGAAGCAGGTATAGGGGTCAGTGCTGAGTGCAGTGAGGTAGACACCCAGGGACAGGTGTCCAGGGGACCACAGGACACACAGATGGGGGCTGGGGGAGAGGGCTGAGCTGGAGGGACACTCAGGGACCCTTCAGTTAGGGCCTGAGGATTGGTGGGGTGACTAGGTCAGAGCCCCAGCACCAAGAACACTCCAGGCTGAGGAGGAGGAGGGATCTGGGCAGAGGAGGAGAGCGCAGCGGGAGAAGCCCCAGGTGCGAAGCAGGAGGAGGGCGGGGAGGTGCTGAGAAGAGGCGGGGGAGAGGGGTTGGGGTGGCAGTGGTCCCAGGGTCACCATGCTAATGGGTCGGTCCTTCCTCCCTCCCCAGAGGGGCAACCCTGTGCTGAGGTTTGTGCGCAACGTGCCCTGGGAATTTGGTGATGTGCTGCCCGACTATGTGCTGGGCCAGAGCACCTGTGCCCTCTTCCTCAGGTGAGCTCTGGGGGCTGCCCCAACTCAAGACGGCCTGGGAGGGGTGTGCTCCGGTGTCCTGGACCTTTAGATGGGAGGCCTCTGGGCATGGCCCTGTCGGCTCGGCCTCGGTCTGACCCTGTGTGAGAGGAAGAGATCTTGGCCTCGAAGTGCCTGGAGCTGGGGCCCGTGCCTCAGGGTCTGAGGGAGGAGGGGGCCTCATATCCCAAACTGGAGCCAGGATGTCTCTAACCTTCATCACAGTTAAACAAGTTTCCCTCATCTGCTGGAAACCCCTCTCCAGATGGAGTCAGACAGGGGAAGTGAAACTTCTGAGTTACTGTCCTCCCTGCAGGGTGTGAGAGCTGGCAGCTGCTGGGCAGAGATGTCCCTTAGTTCCCGAGGGGGCAAACCCCTGGGTTTCCCCACCCCCTCCCTGCCAGCTCCCTCTGAGGCCAAAGCAGACAGTTCCAGGGATGGGCCCCGCTTCACAAGACCAGCTGTGCAGCTCCCCCCACACCTCCCATACACTTTCTAGTCTCCTATTCTCCACCTGAAACCCAAGGGTCTACTCTTCCTCAGTGAAGGATCCAAGGGTCCACCTTCTGGGGAGCCAGAGCCAGGTGGCCCTCACTGCCGGTCCCTGCTGTGCCCCTTCCTTGAAGGGTGACCTTGGGCAAGTCACTTAACCTCTCTGAGCCTCAGGCACCAGCAAGACTGTCTGCCTGAGTTCCCCAAGCCCTCTGCATCCCACTGAGAGGGAGGAAGGGCTCCTGGACTCTGGGGGAGACCAAGACCGCCCAATCCCTCCCTCTGCCTGCCCCCACCCAGCCTCCGCTACCACAACCTCCACCCAGACTACATCCACCAGCGGCTGCAGAGCCTGGGGAAGAGCTTCGCCCTGCGGGTCCTGCTCGTCCAGGTGGACGTGGTAAGCAGGGGTCATTCCCCCGCCAGCCTCACCATCCCCATCTGTGAAATGGGTAGTCTTGGGTCTCTTGGTTGCCAGGTGGACTGTTGAATCCCTTTCAAAGAGAAATGCAGGTTGAAACCTCAATGGGGAATTTCTTACATCTGAGGGGGACAACTGTATTGGCAGGGGGGTGGGAGGGTAAAATTACCTACCCCCTCCTTCCCCACACCTGCTTCAGTCAGTCCCAGCCCTCCGCCACGTGAAGATTTCTGAGATGTTTCCTCCTCTCTATCCTCACAGCCCGGCCCTGATCCAGGCCCTTTTCTCTCCTGCCTGGATCCCTGCTCCAGCCTATTCTCTCATCTCATGGCCTCCAGCCTCGACCCCTTCCATCCTTACAGCAGCCAGAGGGGTCTTGTAGAGCACACACCTGATGCCTGAACCCCTCCATGGTGCCCCAGTGCCCTCCATGGTCCATGAGCCCCTGCATGACCCAACTGCTGCCCAGCTCTCCCGTCTCATCTCTAGGCTCCCATGTGATCACCCTTTGATTTCACATCCTCCATCCCATAGCAGTGAATTGTAATTGTAATTCACTCAAGCCCTCTTTCCTCTCCTTTCCTTTGCACACACTGTTCCCTGTGTCTGCAGTTCCCTTTTCTGCTCTCCTTTGCTGTCCTCCCTCCTCATCCTCCTTCAGGTCCCAGTGCAGATGTCCGCTCCTCCAGGAAGCTCTCCCTGATCCCCCAGGCAGGATAGATGCTCCTCTGGCTTCCCCACCCCAGCCACTCTGGGTCATCTCTGGGCATGGGTCTGTCCCCCTCATCAGACTGAATCCCGGGAAGGCAGAGCCAGGGCTGTCCCCATAACTGCCGGGTCCCTGCATAGGTTGGGCACCAAGTCAGAGATTAGGGAGTGTCAGTTAAGTGAAAGGCTCTTGGCATCCTAAGATGCCCTGTTTTCAAGACTATAATTGCTTGCTTTCTCCCAGATCCCTCATTCTGATTTTCTTTTCTGCCCAGAAAGATCCTCAGCAGGCCCTCAAGGAGCTGGCTAAGATGTGCATCCTGGCCGACTGCACCCTGATCCTTGCCTGGAGGTGAGATGGGCCTGCTCCCCCAGGTCAGGCTCTATCCTGAGAGTCATTTGCCCTCCCCCACCCACCTCCCGTGAACTCCCTGTGAGCCTGGGCAGGCAGTGCCTCACTGGACCTGTTTCTTTATGTGTAAAATAGGGTCTTCACATCTTTCTTGTAGGGTTGTAGGCACAAAAGCAGGTCATAGAGCCAATTTATAGGACCATACTAGGCACTTAGGAGCTAGACATAAAATCCTGCTGAATAATTAATTCCAAGTCTAGCTTTCTAAAGACCATTAGACTGGTTCTCCATATGGAAAAAGACAGCCCTTCCTCACCCCGTAATCGAACCTGAATCTTGATAATTACAGACACAAGAAGAAAAACTACAGTGAAAGTGTTAGAAGAAATCTTATAAAGTATATGTATTTATTACGATCTTGTGGCAGGAAAAGTCTTCCAAAGCAAGACCCCAGAAGCCATAAAGGAAAAGATTGGCTGATTTGAGAAAATTTAAAATTTAAAACTGCCATATGGTAAGAGATACTGTAAGCAAAATTAAGAGACGAGTGTCAAACTAAGAAAATCCTTGCTATCTATAACAAAGACGTAAGATGTCTGGCTTATATATGTATATATAAATTATATTTATACCGTTCAACTATATTTAAATGTTTATATTCATACGAATATATTTAAAGATATCTATTATACATTTATAAAGAATCTCCTACAATTCAATAAGAAAACAGTAGTCCAATTTTAAAAAGTCTTTTGTGGATTGCCAAAAACACATGAAAAAATTATCAGCCATAATTCAGCTTATCCAGAAAAAGTAAATTTTTAAAAAATGAGATGCCATTTTTCACCCATTAATTTGGTGAGTACATCAAGATGGTTAATATGAAATAGGCATGTTTGATTGGCAGGAGACTTGACTGGCTATTAAAACAGAAAATGGAGGGAGGGTATATAGCTCAGTGGTAGAGCGCATGCTTAGCATGCACAAAGTCCTAGGTTCAGTCCCCAGTGCCTCCATTAAATAAATTTATAAATAGGTAAACCTAATTATCCCCCCCAAAATGATAAATAAATACATAAATATTTAAAAACAAAAACAAAACCAACCAAACAAACAAACAGTAAAAACAGAAGATAGACACGCTCTTCAATGCAGAAATTTCTGCGTAAGGAATGTCTCCTCTTTGATGATCCCTGCCTGTGTGCCCAAATCCACAGTGATACCGGCCTTCCCAGCACCATCGGTGCAATAAGTTGCAGGACCAAAAAGCATGATATTTTAACTTATGTATAAAAGGCAGGAGGGGGAGGGTATAGCTCAAGTGATAGAGCACATGCCTAGCATAGATGAGGTCCTGGGTTCAATCCCCAGTACCTCATCTAAAAATAAATAAATAAACCTAATTACCTACCCCTCAAGAAAAAAGTTTAAAAGAATTTAAAAAAAAGGAAGGAAAATGAACCATGTTTGTGAACAGATACAGATGTGAATAAACTGGGGGTACCCCTGAGGGGAGGGGACTTTTATTCTCTGTCCTTCTGTTTTCTTCTGAATATATAATGATTAAAGCTTCTCTTTTTAAAGAATAGGTAACATACTCACGCAGTTCAAAAATCAGAAGTGATTTATATATAATAAAATATAGTACAGTATAATATAATATAATATATACTGTTTTTATATCTTTTAAATACTGTATGTATGTATACGGTTTGTATACAAATGGCAATTATTTTGCTGAGAAATCTCTCTTCTGCCCCTCCCCTCCCACTCCACTCCCTTTACCCTACAGGTAACCATTGTTGTTAGTTTCTTGGTTTCCTTCCAGTGTTTCTATAAATCGAAAACACATGTGAAAACATCTTAATTTTCCTTCTTAGACAAGAGGATAGTGTGTATATTGTTCTGTGCCTTGTGTTGTCGTGTCATTATGAGGAGGTCTGTTCTAGATCAGTACAGAGAGCCGCCTCATTTTTTTTTACAGCTATGTAATATTCTAATATGGTGTTTGCATTTAGAAAAACAAATCGATTTTTTAAAGAGAAATTTTAAGCTTATAGAAAAGTTGATTGCAAAATACAGAGCTCCTGCATACCCCCCTCCCCCTGCATACAGTTTCTCCAGTTATTTTTATCTTGTATTAGTGTGGTACGTTTGTTACAATTGGTGAACCATATTGTCATTATTTTTAACCAAAGTCCATACATTAGGGTTCACTCTTTGTGTTGCACATGCTGTGGGTCTTGACAAAGGTATGATGTGTCCATAATTAGTGTATCCTACAGGACAGTTTCACTGCCCTAAAAAGTCCTCTGTGCTCCCCACTATGTATCCCTTTCTCCCTCTAACCCCTGGCAACCTCTGATCTTTTTACTGTCTCCATAGTTTTGCCTTGTCTAGCCCTCAATTGTTTTTTTGGGGAGGGTAATTAGGTTTATTTATCATTTTTTTTAGAGGAGGTACTGGGGATTGAACCCAGGATCTCGTGCATGCCAAGTATGCACTCTGCCACTTGAGCTATACCCTCCCCTCTGCCTTGTCTAGAATATCATATAGTTGGAATCATGCAGTATGTAGCTTAAATAGAAAAATCCACAGTTCTTGTGTGTAGGGAAAACCCAGTTTCTTATCCTGTGATGAGATATCCTTTACTCCTCACACAAAACCCTTCACCTCTGTGTGGAGGTTTTTTCCCACAGCAAGCAGTTCTCTGCCAGCTGGGTGTCCTGCTCAATTCTGACACTGTCTTCCCGGAGATAGCATCAGATCCCACCGCACACAGCACTTCCCCACCGCGCACACACACTCAGACGCCAGGCGCGAGCCCCGCTAATCCCTGTGCTTCTGACCAGCTGGCCACAGGTCAGAGCTTCCAGTGACCACTTCCTCAGGTTTGATTTTGTGCTAGAGTGGTTCACAGAATTTGGAAACATTTACTTCTGTTTACCAGCTTATTAAAAGGTATGATAAAGGTTGGAGATGAATAGCCAGGTGAAGAGATACAGGGTGAGGTCTGGGAGGGTCCCGAGTGCAGGAGCTCCTGTCCCTGTGGAGTTGGGCTGCGTCACCCTCCCGGTGTGGATGTGTTCATCAGCCTGGAAGCTTCCCAAAACCCGCAGTCATGTTGGGATTTTACAGCGGCGTCTCACGTAGGCATGATCAATTATTAACTCTTACTTCCAGCCCCCTCTCTCCTCTGGAGGATGGGGTCTGGGGCTGAAAATTTCAAGCTTCTAATCATGGCTTGGACTTTCTGGCTATCAGCCCCCACCCAGGAGCCATCCAGGGACACCTCAGTGGAACAAAAATGCTCCTAGTACTCTTACCATGTAGGAAATTACAAGGGTTTGGGAGCTCTGTGCTGGGAACCGGTGTATACTTTCTATTGTCTCATGGTAGCCTTTTCAGATTGGCTTCTTTCACTTAGCAATGTGCTTATAAGGTTTCTCCATGCCTTTTCATGTGTTGGTGGTTCATTTGCTATCATCGAATACTGTCCCGCTGTCTGGATCCACGCTAATTTCCAGCTGTCTAGTATTCTGCCATATACTTAGATAGATGGACCAGGCCAGGAGGACACTTGGGTAGGTCCCAGGCTTTTGCTGTTACCAGCAATACTCCCGCCACTGCCCTGAACCCCAGGAATGAGTTTTTAGGCCGAAGGGTAAATGTATCTGTAATTCTGTGCCCTCCCTACGGCTGTGTTACCTCTATGCTGCTTGACTTTTTGGAAAAATGTATTTATGTATTGGCTGTATGTTAAAACAAAAGCAGGTATAAAAATTGCTCTCTTTTTACTGTGGGAGGCAGCAGTTTAGTATTAGGAGCCCAACTGGGTCAGGCAGACCCATGGAGGGAGCTGTCTCCCCTCCTTGCCAGCTGGGTGATCTTGGGCAGGTGACTCAATGCTACTGGTCTCGTTTCCCCGTGTGTAATGGTTTGAAAAAAATAAGTAATCTCTTCTCGGCCTTTTGGCTAAGATCAGGTGTAGTATCTTCTTATCAGTTTACTATCTGATACATCCTCTATCCGAGGACAATACAGTAAATGGCTTTTGGGAGCAGGGAGTTGGAATAGGAGCTTGTTCCGTCCATTCCACGCATTGACCTGGTACTGCAGTACTTTCAGGAATGGAGCACCCCTCTGGGGGGAAAAAAGGAAGTTTGCAAGATAGATTCAGTAGACGGTGTTTTCTCTGGTAACTTTCCACTCCTGGGAGCTTCCCTGGCCCTTAGACAGAAAAGATGCGACAAGATGCACCAGCCACTTCACGCTCTTAATGGCTAGGTGTAAAGTTGGGCGCAGAGTGTTTTCCAACTGCAGTTTCCTGGAAGGCTCTGTCACCCCAATTTTGTCACCTGTATGTCACTTTGTATCTTTTTGCTGCTGTCTTGCTCGCTATGGTAAAAGACGGTGTGCTGGTTTTCTTCCTTATCCCTTTAAAACTCTGGGTGTCTGTTTTTTTCCCCCATCGTTGCCTCTAATTTCCCCAGAACTGTAAATCTTACCCACAATCTAAGAGTTTCTCCTCTTACACACACACAGAACGAAAGAAAGAAAAGAAAAGAAAAGAAAAGAAAAGAAAAGAAAAGAAAAGAAAAGAAAAGAAAAGAAAGGAAAGGAAAGGAAAGGAAAAGGAAAAAGGAAAAAGGAAAAAGGAAAAGGGAAAAGGAAAAGAACTGCCTTATAGGATCTCTCAAGGGAGCCCAGAAGCTTCTGAACATAAAGAGCTTTGGACAGAGTGCAGCTAGGCCCCTACAAGGGAAATACTACCCATGTGTTTATATCCAAACTATGGAATATTTTGGAGCCCTTAGGTAAATGGGGTTGAGCTCCGTCTGCGAATGTGGAAGGAGGTCCTGATTGTACTGTAGGAAGCAAAAGTGAAAGCAAACGGTGTGACCGGATATAGGGTGCTAACTTGGTGTCCTGAACAAAATGATTAATAATAGTAACAATAATAATCCCTGCTGCAGTGAGAGGAAAGCGGCAAAACCCAGGGAAGAACACCAAATTTTAAAAATGAATGTTCTTTTTAAGAATGTAAACCATTGTTTGGTGGGGGAGGGTGCAGTTCAGTGGTAGAGCGTGTGCTTGGCATGCACAAGATCCTAGGTTCAATCCCCAGTTCCTCCATTAATTAATAAAAAAATAAACCTAATTATCTCCCCTCCACACACACAAAAACCAATATAAAGCAATGTTTAATCAACAAACATTGCTCACTAGCTAACCTTTGAAGGCTAAGAGAATGCCTCAGGATAAACACCTTATTTACTTTCACTCAACTCAATATTCTCAAGTTCCGAAGAGAAAAAAGGCCAGCTTTTTCCTGGTGCAAATAAACTTGGGCTCCTTTACTCTGCACACAGACAGACCCTTTTAGTGATTTCGTTGTTCCATCTACCTTTGAAACAGTTAATTACATGTCAAAAAACAAAACAAAACAAAACACTAGTGCCTAATGTGAAAATTAATGGCAATTATTAAGTTTTGTGAGTTGCCATAAAAGATGCAGCAGTCAGCGCCTGGAGCTTTCCTTTTGAAGGCGCTTTCAAAGCTTCATTTTTCTCAGTAGTGAGAGCTGAAAGCTTCATGAGGTTGTCTTCCTGTGGCTGAGAAAATAAAGTGTATTTCTGGGTTTTTTCCCTCTCAGACCCAGTGCAAATGCTCAGTGTGCTGACCTCCCTCCCAGAATAGCTAACATTTCTTTCTTTTTAAAAAATTTACTTATTTATTTTTTGTTAATGGAGGTATTGGGGATTGAACCCAGGACCTTGTGGATGCTAAGCATGTACTTTACCACTGAGCTACCCTCTTCCTCAGCTAACATTTTTTAAATAGGCTTCTAAGTGCCAGACATGGTTCTGAGCAGTTAGAAAGAATGGACTTATTTAATTTGTCACTGGCATCCACCCCACTTTACAGATGAGGAAACCATGGCCCAGAGAGATGAAAATCATTGGCCCAGGGCAGCTCAGATGGAAAGGCTCCCAGTGGGTCAGGCTCCTAAGCTCTGGCCCTTAGCCAAAGAAGATGTGTAAAGATGCACCTGTCCAGCAAGGGTTACTGAATCAAGGGGACATTTAGGACAGTTTGCAAAAGTTAATTTTTCTGTGTATTAGAGTTTGGAATTCTTAGCATCAGCAAATGAAATTAATCTAGAATATGACCCCCCCCCCCCGGCTGACTGATGTCTCTCACCTCAGCCCCGAGGAGGCCGGAAGGTACCTGGAGACATACAAGGCCTATGAGCAGAAGCCGGCAGACCTCCTGATGGAGAAGCTGGAGCAGGACTTCGTCTCCCGGGTGAGGCCACCTCACCTCCCTGGGCTTCCCCCAAGCTGCTTCTTGGGGGTTTAAGCTGCAGTTCTGATTTCAAGTCATATCTCTCCTCCCCCATCCCACCCTCAGCTTCCGGTCTCCTCTCCCACCTAAATAAGCATAAACCTGACCCTGCCCTCTCCAGCCCAGATCCCTCCTGTGGCTCCCCAGTGCCCTCCCATTTCTGTCGCTTCTCTGTGTGCCCATTCTGTTCCCTCTGCTCAGTCAGCTGCCTGATCCCATCTTTCCCACATCTCAGCTCTGATGCTTCCTTCTCCAGGAAGCCCTCCCAGATCCCCAAGCCAGGTCAGGTGTCCTCGGTGGGCTCCCTCTGTCCCAGCCCTGCCTGTCTGGGTCTTCATATCTGGAACTGATCTGTCTCCTGCACTGGACTGGGAGCCGCCAGAGGGCAGGTCTGGGCCTATCTCAGTCCCTGCTGTGTTCCCAGCAGCACCGAGCCCTCAGTGAGTGCTCAGGGAATATCTGCTGAATGAACTGTTGAATCTGGGCTCCAACAAGAGAGTAATGGTGGTATCCACAGCCACCCCTGAGGTGGGTACTATTAGGAACCTGATTTGCCTGAAAATGGAGGCCCAGAGAGGTCAGTTCCCTTGCCCAGGGTCTCCCAGGAAGTAAGCAGTGGGGTCTGGTTTTGAATCCAGGTCCACTCTAGAGCCTACGGTCTGCCTGGGGCAGAAATAACTCAAGATAAATGGCATTAACTTCTTATCACATGATCAGCACCCTCTCAGCTAGTTGGGGGTCACTCTGAGATGACCTTTTAATCACCAGAACACAAAAATCAGGGGTGGGGGTAAAGCTCAGTGGAAGAGTGCATGTTTGGCGTGCGCAAGGTCCTGGGTTCAATCCTCAGTGTCCCCGTTAAAGGGGAAAAAAGTCTTTAAATATTAAAGCAAAATCAAAACACACACAAAAAATGGCACTTATCAAGTGCCTCCTGCATGCAGGGCAGTCTGGAGACACAGCAGTGACCCAGGGCCACCCTCAGAGGCTCAATCTTGTTCTCCTTTCTTCTTCCAATACACCTCCACCCCTGCCCCTGCTTCCAGGTGACTGAATGTCTGACCACTGTGAAGTCAGTCAACAAAACGGACAGTCAGACCCTCCTGACTACTTTTGGGGTAAGGAACAATTTCTTTGTCCTGACAGACATTTCTCCCCTCCTGCCTTTTCAAGGAAGCCCCTCCCCCATCCTTCTTGCCTCCCCTGTCCTCCCCCAGGACCTCGCTTTTTTCTGGGAATACCTCACACTCTCCATCAGCTGGGGCAGGCTCGAGTTTTGTGTTCACCTCCCCTGACCTCTCACTCCTACCTTCCTCAGTCTCTGGAACAGCTCATAGCTGCATCTCAGGAAGACTTGGCCTTGTGCCCAGGCCTGGGGCCCCAGAAGGTAAGAGCCTTGGGAGTGGGCTTGAGGGGGTGGGGGCAAGAGGGAGCCCCAAATAAATAGGCACTCAGATCCCAAAGTTCTGAGGTTTTGGAAGGCCCACAGTGCCTCTCCTACAGATGGGGAGAACTGATGCCCAGTTCTGGGATAGAAACCAGGTCAGGCTACTTCTCTCCTAGCCTGCAGAGTCCTCTTCTGAGAATTTGGAGAAAAAGAAGCAAAAGCCCACTCTGATGTATCAAACAAATGGCTCATTTAATGACCAATTTCTCTTTTCTTTCTCCCTCCCCTCCAGGCCCGGAGGCTGTTTGATGTCTTACATGAGCCCTTCTTGAAAGTGCCCCGATGACCTCAGCTGCCAAGGAGGCTCTCGGTGTAACAATAAAGCATTTTCCTGGTGCAGACTCCCGTGGATGTGCTGGTGCGGTCCCTGGGAGGGTCCCTTCTCTGCCCTCGCCTTCTGATGGCCCAGGTGGCCACCTTCAGCTTGTCTTAGTTGCAGTCGTCAGTCTCCCTGGAGGAGACTAGGCAGGATCCTGCTGTGGCTTCTTCCGCTTCCTTTCCTGTCCCATGGGAGCTGGCTCCCTAGGCTCCGAATTCAGTGGTGGCTCTGGCATCTCCTCCTGGGACACTGTCTCTGGCACCTGGCTTTCCTGGCCCCGCTTCTTCCTCTTCTTGGTGGATGCTGGGTCTGCCTTGGTCTCAGGCTCTCCCGCATCCAACAGCTCAGGCTCCATCATCTCACCTTGTGGGTTAATCATCTCAGTCCCTGGCTCTGGTGGTTTGTGCCCTCTTTCTTTCTTCTTCCTCTTGGTGGATGCTAGAGCTGCCTGAGACTCAACGGCATCTGGCAGCTGAGGCTTCATCACCTCTTCTTGGGGCTGCATCTCTGGCCCTGGCTCCACCATCGCGTTCTGCCGTTTTTCTTTCTTTCTCTTTTTGGTGGATGCCAGGGCTGCCTCAGCCTGAGGCTCCACTTCCTGCGGCAGTTCAGACTCCATCACTTCCCCTGGGAGCTCCAAGGGTTTCATCTCTGGCTCTGTAGCCTCAGTCCCTGGCTCCCTCATCACTCTGGACCCCTTTTCTTTTTTCTGCTTCTTCGAAGATGGCGGTGGGATGGCTTCCCCCTGTGGCTCCAACTTCACCTGCAGCTGAGACTCAACTATCGTCCCATCCACTGACTCCATCCCTTCTGTCCCCTTCTGCCTCTTCCTCTTTTTGGTAGGGGACAGGACTGTCTCTTCCTGAGGCTCAGTTTTAACCATACATTCCAGCTCCACTGTTTTTTCTTCTGTCTTCAGCATCCCCATTTCTGGCTTGACCATTTCTACCTCTTTGGGCTTCTTTTTCCTCTTCTTGGTGGTGGATGGGAGCAGCACTCCCTGGGGCTCCAACGTCTCAGCAGCGGGCTCTGTTGCCACCGGCTCTGTCACCTCCAATTCTTCCAGCTGCTGCTTTTTTTTCTTCTTCCCTACATCCATCTCTGGGGATCCCAAAGCTGTGTCCACCTCCAGGGCTCCATGCTCATTCACTGCCTCCTGAGGAACTGAGGCCTCTGGCATATGCTTCTTTTTTTTTCTCTTCCCCAAGGCCGGTGACTTCAGTGCTGAGACTGACCCAGGCCCTGTGACTGGTGTGCTGCCTCCAAAGGCACAGAACCGAGGCCGCAGGCCAGGGGGGATTTGTGGTGGGGGACTTGTAGGAATGGGCTGCAGCAGGGTCCCTGTTGGGGCTTCCTGGGGACCCTCAAAGATCCTTAGGCTGCCGTGGGGGACTGGGGCACAGGTGAGGCCCCCTCCTGCCTCCGCTGAGGGGGCCAGCAGGGTTGCTTCTCCTCCAGCCTGGGGGCCACTCCTGCTGAGGACCCGGTAGCGGTGCCGCTTGCCTGCCAACTTGCCCTTCACTGTCTGGGAGCCAGAGAGAGGCACGAGCCGCCCATTGAGGCTGAGGGGAGAAAGGGGGAAGACAGAAGCTGGGTCAGATTCTTTGAGTGGGACAGGGGAAAGGAGCTGAGAAGCAGCATTTCTGGATTCCCCAGGAAAGCCCTGCTGAATTTCCCCCAGATTCAGTCCGTACGGTGGGGAGTATTCCCGGAAGGTGGCATGGGACCACTCACCAGTCTGGGGCGAAGTCTACAGGGGCCTGGATAAGCCACAGTTCTGTATCTGGGCCCGTCAATGCCTCCAAAGAGAATCGGCTGTGCTCTGAGGCTGGGGGCGTCGCAGTAAAGTTGGGGGGACAAGAAAACCGAGCAGCACCTGCAGAAGGGGAAACCGGGGGTCTGTTGACACTTAACGGCCGGTCTAATCCTCCAAGGCGCCCATCGGTCCGTCGGCCCCAACTTCTTGACCGCCCCAATCCACTCTCCACATCTTTCCTCTCTCCGGCCTGTTCCCCAAAGGCGCCTCTGTTTCCGCCGATCCAACCCTCGTTCTCTCCGCCGGTACTCCCCCGAAAGATATCCTCCCTTCATCCGGAATCCCCCCCCAAACCCTGCCAGTCCCTGGGGGACACACTCTCCGCAGGTCCTGTCTCCGAGGATGTCCCGTTTTCCGTCTGAACGCCGCAGGGCGCCCCTTTCTCCTCCCGCCAGCTAACTCTGCACCCCGTCGACCCACAGTGAAGCAACTCACCGCCGGATGGGGTCCCCGCCGTCCCGGGACCCATGCCTCACATAGACCCAGCAGCCACAGCCACTTAGGCCCCGCCGCCGACCACGTGGAACCAAAGGGGTGGGGCCTCACCTGGGAGGGTCCATGTGGTGCGGGGGTGCGGGAGCGCGGGAGGGTCGCTCGGAGACCGCTCTCTCTCTGAACAAAAATGGGGGAAATTTCCACTCGTGCAGAGCAGACACCTGAGAAAGATATCTTTTCCAAGAAACTTCTGCTCCAGAGATCAGCTGATTCGCTGTCTGGCTGGAGTTAGAGCCGCACCAGGTCCCTGCAGGTATCCCCCGAGTCACTTGGACATGATTTGCTCCAAAGTTGCCTTAAAGGGGCAGCCACATTGATAAGCCCTAACTCTTAAAGAGACAGGAAGATCGATTGGTCTGGAATTCTTAAAGAGACGGGTAAGAGTCTAGGTTGGCAGTCCTGTGCTTTCAGTGTTACAGTCTCTTCTAGGGAGGTCCAGTTGTCTCGGAAGTTCAGAACTTGAGCGGGAGAGGTGAGAAAATGGAGGAATGGGGGTAATTCCTCCCGAGGGCTTTAAGCACCAGCTAGGGGCGGGGCTTCTGGACTCCGGGGGAGCGGGAAACATACGGGGAGGAGCCTGTGGATCCCGGGGCGGAGCCTCCGCACTCGAGAGCTGGACCCGCGTGGGGAGGTGCGAACTAAGGGGAGAGGCTGTGGACCAAATGACACGGGTAGTACCCCGAGGATTTAGTCCCATGCGTGAGGGACATTCCTAAAGCTTCAGAGAAAGGGAGAGGGTGTAGAAGTCCCGACCAGCGCCCCTTCCCTGTCCCCGGGCGCGTGTAAACAGCGGCACGTGGACGCAGATTTGGGGACGCGCTCACGCCCTTTCCCACAGGGACCGCACCGCGTGGGGAGACGGGCGGAGCCGCGGGACGGTGGCTAGACAGGGTGACCCAACTGCATTCCTGACCGGTGTGTCAGCGCTGATTCCCGCCCCCTCGGCCGAGATTTCTGATCCTACTTTAGAACTGGGGTGCCCACCTTTCAGGGAGCCAGCGGCTTTTCTGAGCGGAAGGAGGGTCAGGGAAAGAGGATGCGTTGTCTCCTCCGGGGATTACCATACAGTTCCCGCGCGTGGGCGAGACACGGGGCGCCGCCCCTGAGGGCTCCGGGACTACAATTCCCAGACAACGCGAGGCGGGGAGGAGCCCGACGTTGGTCGCGGAAGCTGCTGGGAATTGTAGTCCCAGCCTCTGACTTCGGGCACTGTTGCTGGGAAATTCTGTAAAGTTCCAAACTGCACTTTTTACCGACGGGGAGATCGAGGCTCAGAGACTCGAGGGTACACTGATTTCTAGCATCCCCCGCCTTGGGGGTCGAGGGATGTGTCTCCCCCAGATTTATGTAACCTTCTACCTCTTTGGTGGCATCCAGATCTTCATTCAAGAAGGGGGAAACTCAGCCTGAAGGGGTGCGGCAGGGACTCAGGGGTCCATCTCCTGCAGCCACAGCGAGTAGGAGTCTGGACTCTAAAGTAGTCAGGTCGCCCTCTGCCTTTGGGCCTCACCTTTCCTGTCTGTGAAATGGACTTTGGGCGACTACTCCAAATGTTAGTCTCCGTCTACGTCCTTCCCCTCTGGGACTACAAGTCCCAAGGTGCACGAGGCGACCCTGTCTCCCCCTTCCCTCCGGGACCCACCTCCCTCCTGTCGGAGTCACGTCGTCTAACCTGTTCCCGGCGCCTGCCCCGCCCCGTCCTCTGCTCCCCGCAGCCGGAGCTGGAGCCGGAGGAAGCCCCCCCGGTACCAAGACCTGCCCCGGATCCGTGAGTTACACCCTCCTCCCCGGGTTCAGCGGCTCTGAAGGAGCCCAACACTCTCGTCTCTGGGAGGACTGGGAGGAGACTCGGACGCCGGGTCCCAGGGCAGAATTGGGGGTGCGCAGACGCCAGGGACGTTAGAAGAATGAAACTGCGATGCCTGATTTACTGGCCATAAGGAAAAGGGGGCTCAGATGCCTGAGTTCTTGGAGTAGAGGGCTCGGATGCCTTGGTCTCGAGGAGACGTTTGGAGCTGGGGCTCCTGAGTCCCTCGAACTGGAGGCTCTTGGAAGCCTGAATCCTGGAGTAGAATTGGGGTAGCGAATCTTTCGGGCAGAAATGGGAGGCTCGGACTGCTGGGGCTCTGGAATGGGCGGCCGTCCCTGCCGCCCTTCAGCTGCTTTCTCGACCGAATCTCTAGACCTCCGAGCAGAATTAGGGGTGGAGTGGGAATAGTGGAACCCGGGTTCCTAAAATGAAGCAGAACAAACACCCGGGGTCCCTCTGGAGGCTGTGTCCAGCGTTCCCCCCACTGTCTGGTTCCAAGGTAGGGGCCGAGGGTAAGGGAAGCAGGGCAGGTCTCCAACCTCCTCTGTGCCGCTGCGCGATCCCCAACATGTCATTAACCGGGGTGTCAGACCTGCCTAACCAGAGGAGGGACCTCCGCCCCAGGGCGCCCCCTGGCGGGGGCGGGGGGCCTCCTATTGCCTCATAAAGGTGGGAAATATCTGGGGTTTGCAAAATGTGTTTTAGAACCCAGGACAGAATTCCAGAAGGTGGGGTTCGATTCTGGAAGGCTTGCGTGGCTGGGCACTATACAGTCATTACCTACGGAAGATGGGGGTAAACTGAGGCTTAGAGGTCACCCGGGCAGCAGAACTGTGAATCAGGTATTTGACTTCCCCCTTCCTCAGCCGCTGTCTGGGGGACGGGATTCCATCCTCTCCAACTGGATTATCTGACTAACTTTTCTCCTAGGGCTCCTGGCCCTGACCCTGAGGTGAGAAATGTCACCTCCACCCCCATCTGGCTGACCTGAAGTAGTGTGGGAGATAAGGGAGGATAGAGGCTAATTCTGGAGGTGTGTGTCTGTCCTTGAAGCTGTGGGAGGCAGGGCCCTGTCTCTCCCTTCTCTCCACCCCCATGCGTCATGTGAGGGGATTAAGCAAGGGGGTGGGGGAGGCAGGGGGTTCCCAGGAGAGAGAAAGAACTTCCTAATGTCTGGGCTTTAATGGCATTTGGTGATAGCCTGAGATGAAATTAAAAATAATAACCGTGGCTGCCAAGACAGAGCTCACAGCATGCCAGGCTCAGGGCTGGCAGGTAGACTGATGGTTCCCATTGTCCACAGAAGTTTCTGGCAACAACCCAAGGGTCTCACTTCCAATAAGGTTTCCTGACCCCACCCCGAGGAATGACTTCTCCCTCGTCCAGTGGGGAAACTGAGGTTGGAGTGTGGGCACAGCCCACACACTAGGCTTTTGCCACCTTCTGTTTGGAATGTTCCAGGGCTACCCAGGCCCTGGAAGGGGCCAGAACTGGGGATGACCCGAACTCAGGAAAGCACAGGGAGAATTTAGGGCTCTGAGATGCAAGGGCTGAAGTCAAGATTCCAGGGGTCAAAGCTCAGGGCTTTTAGAATCTCAGATTTGAAAGAGCCCTTTTGGAGGAAAAAAAATTACTTTGGGTCTTCAGCCCTCAGTCTGTGCCAGGCTCTGAATTATCTTAATGAATAGCCAAGGAAGGCTGGGAATTAGGAAACCTCTACATCTGAACTTCACTTTGTGTCCTGCACTGTTCTAAACACTATACATAAATTCTATCATTCACACCTCACACTTCTTTGAGGTGAAGGTATTGATTCCCCCATAATATACACGAGGAAGCTGAGGCACAGAGAAGCTGCATAACTGGCCCAAGGTGGAGGTTTAAAGAAGGGAGGGGACCTAGCCCATTTCACAGAGGGGAAAGCTGAGTCCCAGAGAGAGTGGGGCCTCTCCCAGCATCAGTGTGTTGACAGAGCTGGAAGATTCCAACCTGGGTATTCCCAGCCCAGCCTGGCGCTCTGACCCGATTCCCATTGAAGATGGTTCCCCCAGGAAGTCCACCCTTTCCCCGCCCCCCCTACCCCCCGGATTCTTAACCCTAAAGAATCTGGCTGGGGTGCAGAAGATGCCGGGAAGGAGACCTAAGGGC